GCACTTCAGATATCAACCGATTGCAATAAAATTACATAATGAAATCAGATCTTTCATTGCGTGATTGAAAACAAGAGAGTAAAGCTATTATCTAGATTCATAGTAAAATATTAAAAGCGAATTATTGTCCTAATTATTGGATACAATAGATAATGAAATAGAAAATCGTACAAAATTAAGTTTTCTTAGTATATTAATAGAAGTTTTTAATCTTAAATTTAAAATGTTAAAACATAACTGAGTGTAAATTTAAACATAGTATGGATAAAGACAGAAGAATAATAAAATTCTTTGAATGTAACTTACAACAGTACAAACACAATAAACTTTAAGGAAGAGAAATAAAAGTAGCGTTAAATGAAACTGATTCATAATAAAAAGGAAATGCACAGTAATTTATAATATAATAGTTATGCTCTGTATGTACAATATCGGTAATGTGACTAAAACAGTTTTAAAAGTTGCAAATATTTTATTAGCTAAATATTCTGATCGATGTTACAAGGTGTAATGTAACACGGCGCGCATGGAGCCGCTCGATGGGAATGTTACACTTCCCAACATTACACCATGTAACGTCAGTACTCAGCTTCGGGTCACCTATCAAATCCGCCTTTGACATCCGACCGTGGAAATACCACGATATCTAGATATTCCTATTCTTTATTTTGTTGTACTGTTGTGTTCATTTTAATTATTAATCATGTTGACTTGACGAGTTTCTTTGATAATTTGCTAAATTTATAATTAAAAAAAAAGGTCTAAATCAATATCCTTAGCTATCCACACCAATGTCTCCTTTAATTTAAAATGTCATAGTAATAAAGAAATACATATTAATTTATAAACTAACTAGCTATATATAAAAATAGTGTGCTGTAAACGTATTTATTTTAGAAAAAAACATACAAAACAAACCAAAAGATCAATTCAACTGAAATAAAATGTTTTCGTAACAAAGATGTCATTGTAAATTGTCAATTAGAATGCAAGATAGTTCAGTACAATTTATGCTCTGTCCGTGCCCTACTTTAACTCTCCAGTCCTTACATTTCTTTGACAATAGTTGTCAAAGGTTATATATTACACAATCGATTGACGACATTCTAATTCCAAACAATAATTAGGACAATACTCTCATTAAGCTTCAGTTGTAACCCTAATTAATTTTCTAATTTAACTTAAACATCATTTGGAAAAAATTCTACGCAGTAAAAATTGTTTGTTTACGAACCGTTTGTCAGCGATCCTCGTAAAATGTTTTTTTTTTAAACGAATATGTTAATACTGACGTATAAACTTGTTTCACTGATCTGGAATGACTTTATTACATAAATTAGCAACTATTGTAATAAAAAATATAATATTACTAGCTTTTGTCTGCGACTTCGTCTGCGTAAAAAATCTGTAAAAACAATCTAATAATTAGCCTGTGATCTACTAAATTATTTGTATAGACAAGTAAGCAAAGCCTTGCAGCAAACAATAGTAAAAAGGTGACAAATGTAGATCCAGACCATCTTGAAACCTAAACCATTAGACGCAAAGAAAAACTGGTCAAGTGCCAGTCAGACTCGCGCCCCGAGGGTTCCGAATAATTTCCAACTTAATACCTTCATGCGTTCCTAAGATAAAAGGGTCTTGACAGACAGACGGACGGACAACAGAGTGATCTTATAAGGGTTCCGTTTCTTTCCTTTCGAGGTACGGAACCCTAAAAAATTCAACGCAAAGCTTTGAGCCCGTTAGATTCGATTTCACACACCGAAAAGGTTCGTTTCAGATTTGGATATTTTCGGTATCATTTCGCTTTCGGCACGTGTGTCACAGGTCTTAGCGATGACGTAGATGCTGTAGTATTGTGATTATAACCCTAACCGGTTTTGATAGTGGGAAAATTAGGTTACAAATTGAAACCGGATCGAAATTGGGAAACCATAAAACGTCAACATTTATTAAAACCTGTTTAAATTACAGCTACATTTAGCCTTCTATTTCAAGGAAAAACCAAAATTACGTCTTGTACCCACGTGGTAGGAAATATTTACTATAGTTATAATATTTTAAAACATAATTTTCAAATGAAATAAAAACAACAAATATTGCAAAAATAAAAGAGGTTAAAAATTATATAGATAAGAAGTTTTATGTGAACTATAGTCTATATAAAGCGATTATTACAAGACAAGATACAATACAAATACAAGTAGCAAATAAACGTTGTCGTAGCTTTTAGAAATACACTTACTATTCAGTTTATTCTAGTATTCAGTTATTACAAATTGTTTTTTTTTTTTAAGTAATATAACGAATTTAAAATTAATTAATTCATTTGTGGTTCCATTATGTTCAAATGAGTAATGAGTAGGTACGACACATTGAAAATATGTTCTATATTAATTATTAACAATCATTATAAATAGCTGTATGGATATCCATATAAACTTTCGTATACTTTAAACAGATCTGGATGAAATGTTGCACCAAAATCCCCGATTAAATATATTGTTATCGCTGTTTTATCAAAGATGAAAAACAAGGATGGCGATATAGGTGCAAAGGCAACTTAATTTGTTTTTAATTCCTTGCAGACGGACAGATAAATACGTATTAAAATGTTTTGGTAAATCGATTGACAATAACAAATGACGTCGGATTAATTGCATAGTCAAGCCATTTGATATCTGTTAATCTGTGTGTCTGTCTGTATGTTGGAGTTATATAAGTTTTACGAACAACATCGCGGCGAACTGATAATACTTTGCAACGTTGTATTGCAAGGCTAAAGGTTTTTCTCATATTATAAATGTTGACAGTGACAGTTCAAAGAACAGAATAATAAAATAGGTTATAATAACATATTACAAAAGTGTTTGTGGACACTACTAAAGTCAAAAGCATATACTTGACTTAACTTGTGCAATTTTTGCGACAAGAAAGAAAATAAATCTTCCAAAAACGTACATACACAGTTCAATTATTAAATAAATACATTTAATATATTTAAAATTTTATCACTTGGATTTCAGAGATTAAAAGATTTAAATGAAAGATTAATAATGATAAGACTATTTATTTTTAATCTTCTTGACTCATCGGCTTTTAAAAATAATGATATAAGATATATTGCGTACATAACATACATGAAGGGTGATACTTTTATAAATATATTTCTACCTATGTTGTAAAAAGTTGTATAAAACTAAAGAGAAATGTTTGCAGAATGCAGTCTTCCTCACATATTGGATAGCTTTCATCGTAACTACTGCAAGTAACCTTAAATAGTTTACCACGTCTTACAATTAAATGTAAAAGAATCAAGTAATAAAAAAACGTATAATATTTCTTACAATCTGCCATATTGGCCTCCAAGCTCCGAGATTCCGATTATCATTTCCAGTAAAAAATAAAAGACGTTCGTTCATAGATTATAAGAGAACATTCCATAAGATAACGAAGATCAGCACAGCAATTATAAATACTCTGTGATCTCTGACCTGATCTACAGCAAGCATTGATACGTTGAAGCTAATCTAATAACAATGTATACATGTCTGTATGCCATCATACAATACTGTGTTTATTCCCATACCACTAATAAGAATTGTTTGTAAACTTTGTGGGGTACATTTATAAAATGATTCTTAGGGCGCGACCACAACTGACGGATGCGCAGCTGTTCGCGTACCGTTTGTGAACTGCGCGTCTTTATTTTGTGTGTAGCGCAGTTCGCGAAGAGTCGCATTAGCCAGATGTAAACGCACCCTTAGAATGTTCCTTACTTTACTAGTCTTTAGAATAAAGGCTCTTTGATTAACAAGTTAATAGAGAATTCTTTCTTTTATTTATCGATGATTTTCTCTGAATCTGATATTTTTACATCAATGAATAAAGTTCTTTCTCTTACAGTGTTTATTAAGATTAACAGAATATGTTCTGTTATGAACACTTTCCTTAGTTCCCCTTTTATTAGACGAATTAATTAAAGATTCTATTGATTAGTGTTTCATCAATTTTCTATAGTAATCAAACATTATATATTTCCAAGAGGAATAGAAACGCTGGAGAAAGCTCGCGATATGCCGGTAATAGGATATTGAAAGCGAGGGAGTCGTACTGGGAAAGAGTCTTCCTCCTATACATATGTGCAGTCCTCATGCAATGGTAAGATGACTTGCAGATGTCATTTAGATGCAAAAACTATAATCTCTATAAAAAACGTTTATTTGTGTTTAATAAGTGATATAGAAAATGCCAATAAATAAAACAGAAAAAAAATCCAAATTATCACAAGTTGCTGAAATCTGTTTTGACATTATTTAAAATCAACAGTTTTAAATTGATTAAGCAAATCATAATTATGACAACCACTTTTAATTTAACCACATTAAGCATAAGATGTTCAATTAAAAAAAAATTAAAGTTAACTATATAGTTTTTGCATTAGAGTAATATGGAGATAACGTTATAAAAACACTATAATGTTCATAATTAATAATAATAAACATCATTTTTCTTTGCAAATTTAAATCATTATTATATGTTAATTATTAGATTGCTATAGGAAAATCTAATTTACATAACTTAAGAAAAACATCGTATTGTAGTTTGTATTAATTGATAACCTTAAACCGTCCTGAAAATACCGCAATAAGCTTTCCAGACTTCAGGAAAACGATAGTAAATTAAGAATCATATCAAATACAAGGAGCAGTATACTGCTGGGAGATGTTCAATTTAGCCGGGTTATGTCGAAAACCGCTCGAAGTGGCCTACGTGACTCGCGGCCCCCTAGCAATGGAGTCGTGGCGCCAAACGATTTAGCATCTTATTGACTACTCATTTAATACAATCTTGTGACTGAAACCCTCTTAATTGTTAATAACATTTAAACTCCAAATATACATTAGTGAAGTTAACCTAAAAAACGTTGCGTAACTTCGTTAAAAAAAATACACGTGTATAACTCATTAATCAGCTGATTTTTTGCGAATACTCACCCCACGCATGAACGAAGCCGATGGAAACGATGACATAAGCCAACAAACACAGTGTTTTCAACATTTTATTTCATTAATTTTGAATATGTATGTCTAAATGCACTTTGGATCGAATAATGTTTGTTCGAGTTTCAGCCCAATGACGGACAGAGGGCGCGCGTCGTTAACATCCACACCGGCCGCGTGTCAGACCGAAACTAAATAAAGTCGAGTCGAGTGAAATTGAAACGGTCGACTGTTGAGTCGCGAGTCTACGTATGAAATAGTTGGTTGAGTACGTTTTGCGCATGCGCGTAAATCTTATCACTATCAAAATCGGCACAATTTGGAAATCGCTGTTTGGGCGTTGGGCCTTGAGTTGCAATTACGATGATAATTATCTAATTACACGCTTGCGTGTGTTGATTGAAAACATAGGTTATTTGGGTGGTGCAGTTTTATCAAAATTCTGTGATTATTTAATAAATTATTTCACGTTAGTAGGTATTTCTAATAACATTCCAACGAGTTTTTAAAATATTACGTATAATAAATTTGGGGTCACTAAGATAGTGGTTTTACAAAATACTATATTCATGTAATCTGACAAACAGAAAACATTAAAAAGTTTATCCTAAATGACTGAGAAATCTAATTTAGCTTTCGTAAAATAACTTAAAAAGAATATAAAACATTTTCGCATTAAATGTAGGCCAGTGTCAAAAATATTCGCAAATGTAACAAGGCCTTAGTGAATGGATATTCAGTGGAACAGTACCAAGAAACAAGAAAAATATAAACAGTTTTATTAAACTACAAACATTTAATTTTGAACTTTATTACTAATAGAATAACGTAATCTTAGTAATATAAAAAAGTAAATATGAAACAATTGACAGCGTAAACTCATGGTAAAGCTGTATGTACTATTTTCTTTCATTTTGAAGCCCCCAATGACACGCGCGCTTTTTAACGCGCGTTAAAAAAGCATTCAAATAGAACAAACGCATTTCCATGTATCAGTTCAAACGCGCTTTTAAAACACGACGATTTTTATCCCGTATTCCGAGAGCCGTCGACACCGATTTTTAGAAAACCGTCCGTGCGAATGGGATTAATTAAAAAAGGATTACATAATTTACATATAAAAGTAATAGAAGTGATATATATTCATACTTTCTGTATTTATTTGTATTTTTTATGCGGATAAAAAAAATGCTACGTGCAAATCGTACACGCATTTATCAAGATTAGATAATTTGAAACACACGGACTTCCGGTCAAATGACAGCTACACTACTTCCCGGTCCTGACTTGACTTCCTGAACAATGTCATGTTGAAATAAGATTTATTAAATACAGTAGTATTTACTTAATTGTTTTACATATCTTGGATAAAATATTGTTCAGATAAATAGTAAATCAGAATTGTGATAGTCAATTTAATTCCCACCAATAATTAAAATAATGCACTAGAAATATGAATACTGGTGGTTGCCCGCGACTTGTCAGGACGGAGTTCTTTACTAACATTTCCTATGTACAGGACAGTACCTTCTAGTAAAAGTTTCGTTAAAATTGATCCAGCCGTTTCAGAGTGATTACTCGGAATAAACGCGTACTAGCGTACAGACAGATTTTTAACTGCCATATAAAACACTAAACTATATATAAAATTTAATAAAATATTTTAAAAATAAAAGTAATGTCGGTCTGTCCCGAATAATACAAATAAAATATTGATTGGCAGTTAAATAAGAAAGAATTCCTCGAAGTGTTTCGGTTCCTTGAATTTATTTATATTTTACATTTGAATATCATGTTATTAAACATAATGCGTCGGTGGCTCAGGACACAAGCACTTGACTGGCAATATGTAGGTCCTGGGTTCGAATCCCGCCAAGTACCAATGTATTTTTCGATTTCCGATTTACATATGTACATTTATCCGACGTTCTTACCGTGAAGGAAAACATCGTGATGCAACTTGCACATATCTGAGAAGAAATTCAAAAGTATGTGTGAGGTCAACCAACTCGCAGTTGACTATGGCCTAGTCACCTCTGACTTAGGGTAGCCGAAAAAATTGGTTGCTTGACATCGCTAAGATGCAGGAAGATAAAAAGATGAGACAGAAAAAAGATAGTCTTTTTCTATATCCTCTTTCCCATGAGATCTTATAAACTTTCTTACTAATATTATGAATGCGAATGTTTGGATGTTATTATAGAAAGATCCAGATCCAGAGTGGCTTCATGGATCTCACTAAAATTTTGCATTGCAAAGGCAATTTAAAGTATTTTGTTTAACACATCCACTGCTTATGATGTAAAATAGAATAATTAACCAGGAGCCAACATTTTTAAGGCGTATTTTTATTATGTATATATGTATGTTTAAAAATATGAATGAAAGTAAATTATTATTATTATTTTAATAAAAAATTACCAGAAAAGTAAAAAGGAATAAAAAATAATCCGAAAACAAGAAAAATTTGAACTCTTGACGTAAAAAAATCAAATTTAAATGAATAATATTATAATAAAATTTAATCTAAATGTAATAAAATAAGTATTTTACTTAGGAATGTGCTAGGCAGAAACATTTTGTACAGAAACCTGGAGAACCTTGACATTGCTTACATTCATAAATTGTTTGCACCCTTTTTCTCTCTGCTTTGCAACCTTTGCATTCTTTTCGGGCCACTTCGATCGTTTCTTTTGTAACACTTCCTACTGTCTTAAGTCTCGTCCTTGTCTTTTCTATTTTGGTGAGTTCATGTTTCACTTTCAAAACATTGTGTCGGTTGATGACATTAGGATCAGGTAACAGCTTCTCCAGTATCTTTAACCGAAAATCATTGAGATTTAATCTGTCGTTAGCTGAATATTTGTTGTACAAATGCAACGCATTAATGAGGCTCATTTGCAGCACATGTACAAACAACTTCTTATACCATCGCAGCGTCTTTCTTTGTACTGGATAGTATGCCAACATCTGATCTTGGAGATCAACGCTCGACATAAAATTATTGTAATGAATGATGGCCATCGGTTTCACTACTTCAGATCCTCTTTTGGCAGTAGTTTTTATCATCTCACTGCCATGCTCAGTAGATATATAGAGTACGTATCGCTTATCTCTCCATTTACCGATATGAACGCCGTTTAAGAAGAAGGATTTGTTTTCTCCTTTTTCTAGTAAGATAGAGCCAATTTCGACGGGATTACCTTTCCTATTTTTTCTTAACGTCCCTGTACAATACGTTTTTCGATTTAACAATTTCAAAGCCAAGCCATAAGAATTATAGTAATTGGCCATGTATACATGGTGGCCACAGTCCAGTCTCTCTTCTAAAAGTTTAAAGACCATCTTACTGCTATGTCCTTTGCCTGATGTTTCATCATTAGCACCGGCGTAAACTTGAAATTTTAAGACCGTACCGTCTGGTTCAGCTAAAACATATAGTTTTATGCCATATTTATGACGTTTATTTTTTATATACTGTCTGAATACATATCGGTCGCGCCACAACACCATGGACTCATCCAATGATAGCTCTTTACCCGGACAGTAAATCATTTTCATTTTATTGTTAAAATGATCCATAAATGGTCGGATTTTAATTAGACGGTCTTCACTTGACTCGGAAGTAAAATGTAGACACCGTAAAATCAGCATGAAACGATTTCGTGACATAAATTGTCCGAAGCTTGGAATGTTATACAGATAGTGCCGTTTCCAGTAATCACTAATACGGCTTAGTTGAATCGTTCCTGTGTGAAGAAGCAGACCCAAAAATATCAGCAGTTCTTCTTTTGTTACATCTTTCCAAGATTTTATTCTGGAGTTTTGTTTGACGTTTTCTGCATTACCGATTCTTATTGCGTTCGCGTTGGTCTCGCGAACTATAAGATCTAACAACTCGTCGTCAATCAATAATCGGAATGCTTCGTAAGGATCAGTTGGAGGCGGCTTCATATCCTCACCTCAAACGCCGGCATATTGACAACTACAAAATGCACAGGCCGGTCACTCGTATCCGAGAGCGGGCACCGCTATTATGACCCCGCCCCGCTCGGATCCGAGTGGTGAGCACTAAATGTGTTAATTCTGATCGGAACGAGTCGCAGTTGTCAGCTAGAAAATTAATGAGGAATGATGTTGAGGGTTTGCTCTAGTTTACAGACATAATCGTTTTAAAATTAGTATATATAAAGCTAGTATTAAGATCTAGTTTTATTAGTGTTAATATTGTAACTAACACGAGTAATACACCAGGGTGATTGACCTCTACTTCCGACACGCTTCTGTTAATAAATAATATCTTGAAGGCCGTTTACATTAAATTGTTTTCGTCAACGTATAGTAATGGACTTTTACATATACTAGTAGTCACCTGCGACTCCGTCCGCGCGGAATTAAAAAAAAAGTCTTAAATAGCCTGTATACCATGTATGTATAATATTCAAGTTGGAAACCATAAATTGTATAATCTAGAATACTGGTATTTTTGTTTGGTATTTATGGTTTGGTAGTCATACTATTCTAATATACTAGCAACAAAATTCCGTCGCGTCGTTGTGAAAGTTTTGTTAAAAATTTTACTGCTAAAAGCGACATCTATTGTAGTTACAATTTACAATCCTAGGGAATTGTTGGCAATTGCTTCTTCAGTATATGTTTTGATCCAATAGGTGGCAGCACATTGTCGAAACAAGTGAAAATATTCAGTCATTTCGCTCATCCTCTTTTGTAAAACACTATCTTTTGCCCCCGGTTTCGTCCGAATGGAATTAAAAAAAACTGTTCAGTTCTCTGTAGTTCTTACAGAAAGTGTCCTACATCTATATCAAATATCATCCAGATCTAGGCAGCCTTTCTGAAGATACCTTTTTATAAACATCTATCTATCCCTCTATCCATATAAACATTCGCATTAGAACATTATTGTAGTCATATGGAAGATATTTTCGATAAGTCACCCTTCCATATTATTCTTTTGATGAATAACGAATCTGAATAATACTTATGGCTCTTGCAACGATACATTGCACATCTGCTAGGGCGAAGCAATAATCACCCTCTTGTGCCCGCGCCTTTATTTAGTGATTTTTGTACCCACATGGTTAATAACTATGCCAAATGTTTCGATAATTTAATTCTTTTTATAGCAACTGTCCTTAATAATATTTAAATTTTATCACAACTGTCGAATAGAGTCTTTATTAATTTGTTTGATTTGAGTTTTCATTAAAAGATACAAACAGTATAATCTTCAATTTCTTTTTAAAATGAATCGTTTTATTAAATAAGATATATGTTTTAATATTTAGATTGCTTTTAAAAAGCGCCTGCAGAATTAGGCTTAGCAAATTGTCTGTTTTGTAACGAGTGTGTTTTTTATGCACTATTTTTTTTAATTTGAAACTATCTTTTTTACAATTTTAAATTGAATTGTCATCACGGAACTTTAATTCCTAAATGTAATAGGTAATTCATACAGTTTTTAGTCAGAAATCGTTTGCAATAACTTAATTTAAAATATATTTACGTTATTCATTTTGATATCTAGTAAATATTTATTCCGTGAGTAAATTTTGTTTCCAGTTAGGTGAACGTTTTCAACTTTGCGTCATTAATAATCTGTGTATGACAGCTTTCAACGATTTAAGCATTACCTGCTCGTACCTACGTAATTACTTTTAGCAAATATTAAATCCTGCTATTTGTAACGGTTTTTTATGATTTTTTTTAAAAGTCTTATCATTCATTTCGTTATGTCATAAACATATTTCAATCCAAACGTCTAAATAAATTCAACAGTATCGACTATTTATTAAAGCTAAACATTCCTATCTTACTACTTATTAATCTTACTAATATTTTTAAAATATTCGCAATGTTTGGATGGATGGATTGTTTGTTTGATGGTATCTCTTACGACTGCATAAATATCGCTGAAATTTGTGATAGCCGTAGAACAAAGCCTGGAAAACAATTACAAAGCTACGAATTAGGTTTTTTTTTTAATTCCATATAATCGGAGTCGCGGGCGACAACAAGTAAGTAAATACACTATTTTACTTATTTTGTGCAAATTGTTATGTATTGCTCAACGCAATAATAAAAGATAGTTTGTATGCATAAAGTATTAATGACTTAAGTTATGCCTGTCAAATGTTAACTTTGGGCAATAAAGTAACTTTAAAGGAAAGTTTTCTTCTCATTTTGTATTCATTGACCGAATGTATCCGTCCGTAGGTAACTTAAAAATATGAGTACTACTTGGACCCTTTTTGTACCCTTATTATCTTAAATGTCCAATTTTAGTAACTCCAGTAAAGAAGGTAGTGTCATTATGTGAAATTGCTTTTGTAAGAATACGCTGAAAACTAATTGTGAATATTTACGCATAGAAAATTATAAAAATCTAAGTTATATTTAATAAAAAAACAAGCTACATGTTAATTTAAATATTTATAAAATGTTTACTTTACCTTTAATTAAAGCTTTTTACCTTCTTTTTTCAAACTAAAACACAAAAACTGTCTTTAATTTTGTAAACATAACACAACTGAGTTTAAACATCATTGTTATAAAAATACTTCGTAAAATTATGACTATTCCAATTATTGCATATTGAAAATATTAATTACGTATTATTTATCATACTGTTAAAATTAGCGTAATTAAACGAACCACGAAACCATTTTACGAACCTGTCACTTTGACACTTAATGCAATAAATGCATCCTTTAAGACGCAATACACAAAACATGTTTATCTCTTTCACACCTATCGGATTCGCATAGGAAAACTGAATACGACGAAACAATGCTTTGACGTTTGAGACGTTGCCCACTGCCGCTGTCAGTGCAGCGTTGTACTAGGGAGGGAATGGTTGTGTTGCGTGTGTTCTAAGGAAGCGTATTTACAAACTTTATCGTATTTTGTTTTGATAGTGGCACCTTCTTTGAAACCGGTGTCGTATGACTTAAAATCAGTTGTGACCGTATCAAACAACATTTATTGAAATATAATTTTATTGTGTTGTTTTATTTTTCGTTTTGTTGTGTTAGTTTTTTTTTTGGTGCGACCTTGTGTTTGGTCGGCGTGAGTTTTTGTGGACGACTATTTTAGAGATTATGATGTCAGTGCGGGTGTACCTGGAAGTCCCAAGTCCTTAGGATGGAAAGAGTGGAGCCTTGAGCCAGTAATAATGCATACTTCAATGATGATGGTGAGTGAAGTTCGTTGCTTGCTATATTTAGACCGAGCAACAGTCCTTGTTTCTTGTGATATTTGCCAATTGTTACAAAAATTATAACTTTTCGATTCTAACATCTGTCATGTAGGTGAACTTACTAAAGTCTACTTCATTGATCTTCAGTTTTATTGAAGTCAAATTTCCCTGTTGAAGCCAAGGCTTATGAATGGCATAAATTATGTTTCCGGAAAGTACATAATTTATGCTAATATTTACACTAGATTTGATAAATCAGCACCGTAGTCTGTGGTCAATCTTTAGGAAGAAAACTAGTAACATGACGTTTCATTTCATGTAAATAGGCGAAAAGTCCAATCGCGATAATGAGTTTACGATACGAAAAGTTAATGCCGGGTACATTTAAATGAAAGTAATTTTTCACAATTTACACACTACACTAAAACTCTGTGTAGTAGAATAAAATAAAGCATAAAACATTTCGAAATTTTTTGCTATTAATTCGAGTTGATAAATTTGTAGTTTTTTCGTAGGTTCATTTTACATTTAGAAGTAATCTTATAGTCTTTGTTGTGTAATCTACTGGCAGAACTGTACGACAACAGGGATTGTTTCACGGAAAAGACTATGTTTTATACATGTTTCTGCTATGGAAACTCATGATAATACAGATAAATTACACATCATTTCTTTCATTTCATTTCGGAGCCAAATACAAATTAGCTATAGCAAATATCAGCCGTTTTGACTGACCATTTGGCCATATTAAGCGAATCGTTATGACTTATGATAATCGTGCTAAATGCAAATGTAATATGATATGTGTGCGTCAGCCCAGCCTACACAGACGAACACAAACCTATTGTTTGTATTCAATGTCGGACAGCGGCGAACCTACGTCTCGAACAATCTAATTATGTTAAGATGCTATTTCTCTGGTAGCTTAATAAATTCTTTAAAGTATTTCAAAACTTATAATAACTCATAACCTAACCTAACTTGTTCAATGCAAATCGTATTGCTGATAACAGTTAAATTAGAGATACCTAAATTTTACTTATTTTTGTCCTATTGGCTGTCTGTTTTAAGTTTTTACTAGACGATAAAGATAGATTACGTTACTAAAATTATATATTTACGTTAATAAAAGTTATTATGTAATAATATTGCTACAGCTGTAAAACCTGACAAAACATAGAAATATTTTGCTGACTTATGACTAACTAGCTGTCGCCTGACTCCGTCTGCGCTGACTAAAACAGTCAGCTTACTTGGTAAACACATTTCAGACTATGGTTTGCATCTATGGCCAAATTCAGCAATATCCATGCCGCTGCTCTGATGAAACTTTCTAACAAACATACATCCATATATCCAACAATTGCATTTATAATATTAGTAAGATATGTATGATATTTATTTCACGATGTGACTACTACTAAACATGTGGTGTATTAGAAATGAAATCAAATTTCATTCATTGTTACTTGATTGAGGTAATTCGTTCGCGTGCACAAGTTTTTATAAACATTGCAATGTAATACCATAACACTCATCCATTATTGCGTAAAAGTGAATACACACTAGAGCATTTTCTCGAGAATTTCTATGTATAAGCACAATTTCCAAAGTAAGTGTGGTTAGTAAAAGGGTGATACACTAGAATATATAATGCGGTTCGTTGTTCTGTTACAAGTAAATGCTCAAGTGTATGCTCACCTTTATGCGATGATGCAAGAATACGGGAAAGCAA